CCAGAATCTACGGGTTTTGTCAACGTAGAACACCTTTTTCTAAAGAAACTTTTGCACACTAAAGGAAGACCTCACAACAGCAGTGACTAGAATAGGTACGTTATTGCGAAATACTTGCTCACGGACGACACTACACAATACAAAGCACGCAAAATTCGATGTCAACAGAAAAAGCCGTTGCCAAGAAAACGAAGAGAGTTTCGACACATCTTTACGGCGCGGAAGGACGGTTTCACACCTAGGAAAATTGTGATTCTCCCTTGTCAATGTTCCAAAACAATTAGAGTCGGTTTTCGCCGAGAATAGATACATATACACGTGAAAGAAAGAAAGAAAAAATAACATAATTTGCAGCGCGATCACGGAACACTTTAAAACCAATACGGACTTCGAAATCCAATCATAAAAACAAAAAAAGGGGGAAAAAAGTTTTTGTTGCTTACTTGCGTGGCTTTGAATAAAAATTGCTTCGAGGGGTGCGTACTTTTGTTTTCCAATTTTAATTTCTTTTAGGCTGCGCGAGCCAAAATCGAACCTTCGCCAGGTTTGACAAAACAATCCGTTTCTGCGAAGAGCAGACGACAATAGCGCGGAGGAAGCAGATTATATGGCTATGGCGTCATTCTGCTAACGGAGCGGCGTTGCCAAATGTCCGAAACGTGTACCTCCCGCACTCAGGCGGATTTTAAAATTTTTTGCTTGCAAACAATCTGCGTAGACAAATTGTTGTTTTATAGAAACCTTTTAGTCGGGCCAAGTAATTCCCTACTTGCGCTGTTATTTTTGAGACAAGTAATACCCGTTCATTTGCTTTGCTCTCGAGTCTTCACAAAATGTTTATTCTTATGGATTGCCTCGCAATTTTCGACTCTCTTTGTATTTCCAAAACATAATTGTGAAGGAATTTTTATTTTTCACACGGATCTATTGCGTTGCTGTCACGTTTAAATCTGAGGTGGCCCAATGACTTTTATTTTGCAAGTAAATTATATTAGAATATACGACTGCATAAAGGTAGTGCATTACAATTACGAACTACTTTGAAAGCGTAATGCCATTAATTAGAAACAAATAATACTTTCTTGCTGCAAATAATTATATTTATAATTCAAATTGTGTATCTATATACGGCGCTAATTTTTGTGTGCCATGCCACTCTTAAAGCCTTGCGAAGCTGATCGTAAGGAAAAAGTTGTGTGTTTTACAGATGAGAGCTCTGAAAATAAAATTTTGGGGTTATTCTCCAGAAATCTAGACTATTTACTTCTTCCATTTGTTTGCAGGTTTAGGACAGATAAACTAGATAGGCTTACCGGCTTTGTTTCCTGTCCCTTTCGTAAGCTCTCTGAAGAAAGCAAAAATAAAGAACCAGCTGCTGCCCAGCCGTGTTGTCAGAAAAAAGATGAAGTCAACCTTTCACCGTCAAACTTGACCAAAGGCCTGGGTGGTGGTTGCTTTGTTCTGATATTTTTAATCTGCAACTTCTCATCCTGCACTTTACAAATCTTCTCTTAAACTGTACAAATACTGTCAATAAAAAAATTGGCGGCTTGTTTGTTTTATTTGGAAGACCAATCTCATAATCGAAGTGTCATCGACGTTTCGGAAACAAAGGTTACCGCCCTGGATTATTGAAGTCTCTTTGCGTTTTATTATTATTTTTTATTAGCATTGTTTGTTCAAGTCACCTTAATCTAGCTCAGGGCTCTCAAACACACGGCCCGCAAGCCACATGTGGCCGGCGACTTGCTCGAACCGGCTACGTATCCCCGTTCCCATTTCGCTAGCGTTAGAAATGGCATGCGCTATAGTCATCTTATCTCGCCGATCTTTTCCCGTTTGAAACTTAGATCTGTTTCTTTTTAACGCATTCACACATGTTATTTTTAGCGGCGTTCATTTGCCCTGGGTTTTGCCTTATTGAAGTTCGTGTCACAGAACAGCTGGCTTTGGTTGCGTGGCGGGAAAATCCTGGTTGGTCAATAAGGTCATGAGGTCATAGCACCATGACCTCGCGCGGGAATTTCAAACAACCCCCGATGCTCACCTGAAACGGTACGTCACACGTGGAGTGAAAGTGATTAAAATGCGACATGCAATGCGAATTAGAGGTTTCCGCGCGTCTCAAGTGATTTCGCTTTATGACGTAATTCGTATGCCATATAGAAAAAAAATTAAGAATTTTAGGCGGGGTTCAAACCCACGACCCTTCGGTGGCGAGCCAGGCAAACTACAGTCTATAGGTCGCGCAAGGCACGCTTGCACGGCGAATGAGAAGGCGATGCGAAGTGAAAAACGCAAAACGCTATCGCGTTCAACTCTTAAAGGCAAAGCTTAAGAGTCCTCCAAATTTGTTGCTTCGCAGATTTTTCCATGTATAATCACCTGTGCCACATTTCCGCAGCTGCAAGCGCGAGCTCCTCGTTGAAGGACGCATCTCTGTTCGCGAGCTCTCAATAAGCAGGAGCAACTGTCAAAGATAAAGCTATAAGGTTGAGATTCTCGCTTTAAAAATATATCACCATTAAAAAACGCGTAATTTCTCAGACTGTTATACAAATCGCAAAAACAAAGCAAGAACTGTCGTATTAACAGAAGTTTTAGAGTGTTAAGCTCGCTTGATTCCTGAGTGAACCGAGCAAGGGGAACGACAGCGTGCTTGCCCTATTGTCCTATTAAAAGTGGGAACACACTTGCGGGTTGGTATTATTTCAATTATTGTTATCACGCCAAGTGAGGCCCAAAGTAATCCAATAAACAAATCAAAGCTAAAGGAGTCACTGGCAAAGCTGCGAGTTTAGAGAAAAGCATAAAGCACAATGTCCCTTCTTTTCGGAATCTTTTAACTCGCCCCCCCCCCCCCCCCCTCCCCCGCCTTAGGGTGGCCCTCGACCTTTCGGTGGTGGGCTATCTGGTCCATTGAAATGAGTCTGAGACCCCTGTAGTCTAGCTATTTAAGCCTTCCAACGACGTAAGTGACTTCTATTCTTTAATGTGTGACCCTGAATCACATGCTGCCTTTTCTTTACTGTAGAATTTTCCACCACTTATCTTGTCCAAGCTTTTTTTCTGAAAAAAAAATCACCTTTGGGATTTGTGTGCGCACAAACACATGCCCAAACCAAAAAAGTAAGGCTGTATTTTATTACTATTAAAGCTCTAGTTTAATACACTACATTACTAAATTACCTACAACAAGAAAGTAATGAATTATTTTAGTCACTATGGCAAACATAAATTTAATTACTCCGTTTTATTTCCTGAAAATTTATAACTGCCAGCTCTGCATTCAGCTTATGCAAAATTCGTATCACGACTTCGCCTTTTAAAAGTTCCGTGCAACGATATTTGGATAGAATGTTTTTTACCTTACAGTACCTCATTGGCACTATAGTGGGACCGATGTATGCCCGTACGCTACGCCGCTTCATGATCATTGGCGGCTTAATCTGTGGCTTTAGATGCGAATGTTTGGCGGTACAGTACCCTTTCTAGACAGTTTTTTTAACGTGCATCTCGCAGTAGTGATACACGACCGCAGTGTAGAACAGTACTCATCCAGATAGAAACGGGCAGGGGCCTGGATTGAGCCCAGGATTCTTGGTTCTTCAGCCTGAGCCTTCGCTCCATGTGCTCCAAAATGCGGTACGATAACACACTTGGCCATCACTCTTCCACTTTACAAAGATTGAGCGATGCTTCAAGCTCATAAAATGAGGAATGAAGTCTTCTAATCTCCGATGAGCGCACTATCGAAACCAAAACGCGTTGAAGATCATCTTTCTTCATTTCTGTCGCAATAAGAAGTGATAGCGTTACTGATGCTCCATAGCGAGAAGAGAGCGCTCCCACGTGCTGCTAAGATCCTGTTTCTGGCATCCTTCACCTTCGAAACCCCGCCAGTTCGATGTCCACATTCGGAGGAACGCGAAGAAATACCGTGCAGAGACTTGGCAGCAGCTTTGTTTCCTTTTGCGCCGCTTCTTCGTGGAAGCTTCCAGTTGCACACAAAGTCTGTTACTGACCGACGAACCTCGAAAAGATTCCGCAACGGGACTCCGGCTGCCGTCTTCTTCACATGACACAAACGGCGTGCACGCTACCGTACTCTCGTCGGTAAAACCTTCGCTGAAAAAACTCGCAACGGGACGACAAACACCCATAAATATTTTACGGAAAGTCTGCCTCATTACGACCACGACGAAGACGGCGACGGCGACCATACTTTATGCTGCCTGTCCTCTCACCTTCTCTCCGGCCCCCTCTTCTTTTACTTTGAGTTTTTTTTATTTATTATTCCGTTAGGAATCGAGCTTTGAATCGCTAATACAAAAGCGAGCGTCTTCGCGGGGTAAGCCAAAAACTTACATATGAAATAACGCAAGAACACGCAGTAAACGTGGAAAAAAATAAGCAAGAAAATCAAAAGGCAGTAAAGCGACTAGTTCGGCGACGACGCAGTAGCGTCCAGCGGTTGCACAGGGTGCCCCTTTCCAACTCTTCGACAGTCAGGGACACTGGGAGACCACATATCCGAGCCTTGCATATAAAACTGCCCGATGCATCAAGGATGCCGCCGAGGAGAGAGAAGCCTTCCGGACCTTCTGCTTCACCTGTGACCTCATTCTGATCGTGGTAAATTTTATTTTTCCGTTTTCGTCACATCTTTTTTTTTTCTTAGGTTTCTTACTTCACACTCTCCTCTAGTGAAGAGAACCAACGTTGCCATGGAAAGCGTATTGTATGGAATCAATATCGGCCTACCCTCCGCTCTTGAAGAGAGGATGACTGGCGAGGGATGGTCCCTGTTACCATAGGCTTTTTCTTCTCAAACCGTAGCCATAGGCCCTTCTCGGTTTAACAGGAGGGACAGTTTTCGTCACAGACTTGTAGTGGGAGAGGGCGGTCAACAGGCGAACGGGATGTCGTCCATCCCCCCCCTGGTATAAAAAGATGGACGCCCACGTCTTGGGCTGGGAGTTTGTGGAACGACGACAACCATGAGAGTTCTTGTAAGTAAGCCTGTGCGCTGCTTCGGTCTTTTTTTTTTTTTTTTTTCTACGCTTTGGTTTATCGACGGTGGTGTAGGTTCTAGTCGCTCGTGAGCTTTGTACTCGGCACCGGTCGTCTGGATGGGCACGGATTTATAACCACCTGGACGGAGCAGAAGGAATTCGGACCTTAAGGGCAGCAGCAACTGCGAGAGAGTGGTTCAAGATCGGCGAATCTTAGTCTTACTCCCGCAGGTAGCTTGATGCAGTCAAAAAAGGACTGGGTTCGCATGTAGGACCCTTGCAATATTAATAGTTCTTCTTCAGCAGTGGTAAGCAATCGCATACTAAGCTTATCTTCATTCTTCAATGCCAGAGGACCCGAATTTGTTGTAAGTTTGATACGTTGGTGATCCAAAGTTTATTCTGTTTAATACATATCAGCCCGTTCACAACATTACCAAGGAATTGAGCCCAGAGCGATGTTTATATAGTGCGGAAGTGCTGAGCTGATACATCTCGGTTCCGGGTAGCCCGAAAAATACTCAACAACCAAAGAAAAAATAGGAGTGGACGAAATGACTGCTCTAGCAATTTCCCTCAAGGTATTCTCGCGCAAAGAATCGATCATCTTAGCTGCAAGTGTTCGCTGGAATTGTTTCGGAAATTCCATTTTACGCCATGGCACTCATTTCGCTACAAATACCATCTGTTTGTTACGTTGGATACCGCACTGTAATTATCCCAGAACGCATAGAAAATGCTGTGTTTATCTCTGTGTGGCGAAGGAAAACGAAAATAAATGGGAACCTTCGGCAAACGTTTTATCGTACAAAAAAGTAAATAGGAACCGTGCCTTTCATTTATGCCCGTGTCCAAAGTTTTACTGGAATTAGCCGTTCAGCCAAAATTAAAATACCCGCGTGGGAACGGCGTGTCGTTTGTAATAAGTCTAATCGTCTCGTTTTTCGAGAAAAGAAATGAGCGTGTATTTTTGAGAACCCGATATGCAAAAAACAACACCTGATCTTGAGACTAGGTGGAACTCAAAGTTATAGAAAAAATATACCTCCGCTGATCACATTATAGGAGAATAGAATAGCGAATGCGACACGAACCACTGCTTGCAGTCACCGAAACGAACGAGCGAAAACCGTATTCTCTGTCTGGTAAACAAACCGTTCCAACCAAAGTCCACGTGTTGTCACCGAGCGGCTCAATACAGGCAATGGGAGACGAGCCTCGAAGACATTGTTATCGTCCTCCGCAGCCAATTATATTAAGGCATTTGCCGACAAGAACGTCAAAAATAACTATCAGAAAAGCGCGAAGATCATAAACCGCGCCTTACGTTTCTAAACCGTCAGGGACTAAAAAAAATGCGTGCCTGAATTGTTGGCAACGTGGTCCAAAAGCTTTTACGTCGAATCCTTACGCACTTTCATCAAGCTTTTTTTTTCTTTTTTTTTTGATATCGTCATGGAAGGTCTGAGAAACGCAGGTGTTGTAGGCGACGTCTTCGGATCTAGTTATCATCGCTCTATTAGCGGCGAGATGTTTCGGTGGCGCCCTCGTTCGGTTACCTTTCGTGACGTCATTACCTTGGGAACAACAAGTTGGATGGTGTTTGTAATGGGCATGGTGGAAGCCTGAAATCATAGCGCTCTCAAAGCAACACTGCCAACACCGTCAAAATTGAAGTTCTTACATTCCTCTTATTTCCGTCCATGGGAGATCCTTTGCTGACGTCATAGTCAGCATTTGGCCAATTGTGGTGGGCCGACCACAGCGACGCTTTCGATCGCTCACATCGCCAATAGCTAATGCGAAGCGTAAGTTCGTCTGCTTCTTTTTTCGGGGGTTCTGTCGATGTCAGAACGCCAAGCTCGAAGTGGCTCCGATTGGAAGGATATTGGCCAAACCTCGAAGCAGGCGGCCTCGGGGTCTACCCACTATCTTTCCAATCAGAGCCAGTCAGAGCTCGGCGTCTTTCTGACGTCATCACAGCATCCCTGCAAAAGAAGCAGACGAACTTGCGCTTCGCATAGAATCGCGGCAGACGATAACGCCAAAGAACGGATCACGGTGCCAAAGGTGCGAAGACAATAGGCAGTTTTAGTATTGCGTATACGAGCGAACGCAAGCCCTGTGCGTTTGCGGTAGCGTTGCTTGTTCCACACTGCGCGTGCGCGGAGCCCAAACTGCGGCCTTGGATTGGCGCATGGCGACTTCAGGCATGCGCAGCGTGGAGAACGCGACGCTGTAACGCAAACGCACAGCGCTCGCGTTTGCTCGTATGCACGCAATACTAAAACTCACAAATGGCGAGTTTTAGAATAGCGTCTACGTAAACGCTTGGACTATGCGCTGTATAACTTTGCGCGCGCAAAGCATTTACGTACGCACACTGTTAAAAAAACTCGCCCTATAGTGAGCCACGCCTGGCGTTTCTTAAAGTCACGTTGCTCGTACATCACACTGTCTGCGTGCACGCCTCACGTATGTTGGAAGCATGCTCACTTTATACGTTTGTGTATGCTCGAAACATGCCTGCAGGCAGTTTTTCTTTTACTTTTTTTTTTTTTTTGTGTGTGACCAATGTGTAACGGTACAAACTGCGCATGCGCTACCGCAAAAAAACTCGCACATGCGCAGTGCGCACCGGAAGACCCATTGTACGCTATCGGATGTGGAAAAACGGTTCCCTTAAACTCTTTACTGCCTGCAGACTGTCCCTTGTACGATGATGCATTAGCGGTGCGACCACGGCTTTAAGCTTCCGGTGATTACAGTAAGCCCGCCTGAGGCAGCTAAGTCGGCATTCGAAGCTGTTTGAATCAAAGTCGGCAATCTAAGCTTTTTTTTTCCCCTCAAAGTCGACTTTAGCGTAGCTTTAATTTTCGTAGTAGTACATCTCGCTTTATAGCTTCACAATTCGTTTTATAATTTTCCCTCACATACGAAAAGCAAAAACAATAACAATAGAATGCAATTTTTTTTTTTTTTTGTAGCGTTGCGCTAGACGATTGGATATCGGCGCGGGTTACACTTTCCGCCAATCTTCGGGCATCACAAGCTTATCAAGCGCATGTCGTCCGAGTGCCGTTCGGCACTTTAAATTCAGAGCGGGAGGTCTCGTTTTTATTTATTTTTTCTCGCTTTACCGGAAACTGAACGGCCTTGTCCGGTAAGCGTGCATGCGGTGTGCAGAGTCGCCGCGTCTTGGCACACTCGATGTTTCACGAGACACAAAAAAAAATAATAATAATCTGCTCCCGCGGTTATTTTGGTGTCTTTTTTTCCCCACAGCTCAAAAAAAAAAAAAAAAAAATCACAAAATTAAGAAAAACGAAATGTATCTTAATTATAGAGATAAAGTCGAAAAAAAATGTGCAGCGAAACAAAAGGCGCATATTTTTTTTCTTAAAGCCTAGGTAGATATCATAATTCATTAATGATGAGTAATTAACGGGTCTTACTAAAAGTAGCTGAACGGAGTGGGGCGTAATTCGGTTACATTTAACGGGACACTCCTTCGTTATGTCTCGTTCATAACATGGAAGCAATCCCCGTAGAATTCTGCTATAAACAAAGAATAATATCAGAGACACTGACATCTTAAAAAGCGCAGTGCTTGACTTAATACGATTACGCCTCTTGCTTTTGTTATTTGTTCCTTGGCGGTCTTGTCGGCTAATGTCACCACCTCGTTGGCTGCGGAGTTGTAATTAAGATGTTTGAAACTCGCCACGCACTGCATTTCTGAAGCTGTCGGCGACCGCACTGCGTATGGTCGAACATCCACGTGTGGGGAAAACTAATGTAGGCCGTAAACAGCGGCGTAGGGCAGAGAAGAGCATTATCATAATTATAGAGAGTGAAAGAAAACTAACACCGGGCATGCCTTGTCTGTGCTAACTTCCTCAGCCTCAGCTAAAAAAAAAAAAAAAGAAAGAAAACTGTAGGCGAGTTACGCATAATTTAGAGGCCTGGTTGCCATGAGAATGTAGCATACTTCAGCTGAGTTTTAACGTATGGCGTTTATCGTTTTGTTAACTGTAGGATGCGTTAGAGAAGTACGAGTGAAACGTGTAATCAAAAGGCCAAATCGAAAGCGATTTGGACTTTCGTACATCAAACAGTCAGAGTGTAAGCGTTAATGACGACGCAAGTTCCACGCTTTAAACGAGCGATTTAGCTATACACCCTGAGATCTAAGCCAACGCAGACCGTGGCGATTATTAGGTTCGCGCAACTTGCTTTGCGACTCGCTCGTCAGCGTTCTTCCAGTCAAACGCTGCGATGTCATGGGCTCTTCTGCGATAATAAGGTTCCTTTGATTCGCCAAACATTTCTTAAACTGTCGGAGCACCGTTGCTAACATTGGGGTCCTAAACACGCAACAGTCAGGCGAGAAGCTACCCGTTACAAAGGTCATGCCAGTAAATCCAATCCAATCCAACATGAAGTGGAAATTACACAATCACTCACCGGTACGCTGCTCAACCGTATTCAAAGAGGTGATATATAAATAATGTGGCTTAATTTGACTTTGCAGCAATAGCCACATCTTTTAATTATAATTTGGTCGAATAAATTAATTGCTCGTTCTCTCTGCCGTCTGACAAATGTTGCCTGTAAGTTTCTCATTCGCCTTCGAGTGAATTTACGCAGCTAAAGATCAAAGACATGGTCTATTTTCGTTCGGTCAAAGCATTCTGCCCCGATATGATTGCGGAAGAAGTAAGCAAGCTACCCTCTTCCGTACATTGGGCGCTCTCCCTGCTTTCTATAGCCTCCTCCTATTGTACATCATACATTATGCAACGATTCCAATCGCTTTACGGGAAGCGTTTTGCGGCGCCATCTAACCTTGGCGTCGCCTACTTATCCGAGTTGTTCGTGAGCGTCAGAAACCTCTCCTACCGGTTAACTCGATGGAGGGCGCCACCTTCCCAGCTTGCCCTACAGCCTAGAGGGGAGATTTTCCCGTTATTATGCTGGTCACGAGTCCCGGCTGGATAATCTCCCGAGGAAGCTCCTGACATAGCGTCGAATATGCAGGGCGAAACACGGTCCTTTGATTCCGTAATCCTGCCCTGTCTCACTTTATGCATTGTTTTAAGTAATGTACAACCCCTGCAGACAGTAAGTCAGTCATCACAAGTACCTTCAAACGAAAGTAATTCGCGTTCATGTTTCAGGCAGCAGGAAGGCAGTCAGCCCCACTGGACGTTTCCTACCACCGTTGTAGTTGAGAAATTGAGTCAGTGCCATACTACTGCTGCCTGGGGGCTTAACGTGCATTCAGCAGTAGCGATACACAACTGCCCGCACGCTGGTACGATGCTCGTTCAGGTAGAAAAGGGCGAGGTTTAAGGATTGGGGCCAGAATCCCTGGATTCATGTAGTTCGTGCTATCGCTCCGCGCATTCCGAACTGCGGTGCGCTAACACACCCACCAACCATTCCGCCAACCCGTACACAACGCCCAAGAATCCTTCGAGAAGACCTACCCCACGTCTGGGTGTTCAAGCTCCTCAGTAGTGTGCGCTACATCTTCTTAAGCAACTGACACAATTACGCTTCTGCGAAACATGCCACGCGAGAACAACGTGGCATTTTTCAGAATATTTTGCTGCTATATGAGTCCTTATGCCAGTAAGCGTCGCTTATAATGTTGATACTAATTATTATAAGCAGAGCGTGTTTTGAACCTCAGCAATTAGGTAGTAGGATCGATGACAGTGAGTCTCGACGAATGGCAGTTCTGTCGTACATAGAGTAGCACACGAAACTAAAGCTCCCGCTGCAGAGAACGAAACGCTCAAATGCATTCTTGAGGTTTCGCTATAAACGGGTGCTTATGCGAGTTTCGTTTGTGCATTCTCTAAAACGCGATACACGTTAAAGACTCCAGGTTTGAAGACGTCCCAAACTGGCCAAGCATGGTCGTCTACAGAACTGACACCAGACGTTATTCTGAGAATGACTAACCTCCGGATGTCAAAGCTTGCAAGTTTCATGCAGCACATTTAATTTAACTTTTGAGGCTACCACGCCCGCTTGATTCATTAGGAAATGGCATAAGTTATACGTCCCGTCAGGCACGTAGCCGGGGGGGGGGGGGGGGGGGGGAGGCAACGGGACCCGCCCCCTTCCCCCGGCCTCCCCAAACAAAATCCTGGCTACGTGCTTGCGTCCCGTGTAATCCAATGGGAGCGACGGAGCGAAATTCTAAAAAGACGTTGACGTGGCGGATTGGTCACTCTTGTATCTGCTTGTCACATATAAAAGAGGAAATAGATAGGCTCTGTCAACCGTCTCATGGTGCCTTGCTTTAGGAAGGGAGCAAGCACAACGGTAATTCAGGTTGAAGCCGAATCTGTGCCAATATTTTCAGATGGCATTGTCAATCAGACAGTTACTGAAGAGCACTTCCAACCAGGTACAATTAGGCATATTAAAAATCTGAAATTCCCAGCTTACTATATTCGCTTACAATGTTAAAATGGTTGGGCTACAAGCATTTCAGTCATTAGACAGACACTAACCTGAGATAGCACAAACGATCCTAAAATGACCATAAAGCAGTATTATGTTCTTAATGTACAAGGAGTATCCTGTGCTAACGAACCGTAGCTAGGAGTACGTGCAGAAAACGCTCGCGCTGAAGGACTAAGAAACTCTGGACTCGAACCCCACCCCTGCCCGTTTAGTTCTGGATAAGCATCGCAGCGTCGGGCTCCGTTGTACCACTACTGCGGTCGCGCAGCATTGGCTTAATTTCTTATTTACAGCGGAGACATCCGACGCCCCTTGAAGCAGACTATTTTGCTATCCTGTCATTTTTGTGGGAAACTTTAGCCACATTCGTTATTTATCTTCAGGTGTCTACATCAACATACTGGGTTTCTTGTTTTCCGTGTCTTCGCTCCAAAATAAAGGGCACAGAGACAATATTTTTTAGAAAACACAGTGGCTGTCACGTACGTGTCACAAATGAAAACCACACGGGCTTTAATACGTCTCCGTAGTTAAAATAACCTTGATATGAATAAGTACCACAAGAGACCTCGGGGGTATAAAAACTAGCGGGAACAGATTATAGCACGGAGTAGCGTTGATCAGCTCGGATCACGATAAGTGCCCCTTGACGATTAGAAACTATGCCCATCATAAACACAGTGGCTTGACATTTAGATGAACGGATAGGTAGTGGTCTAAACTTTCCTTTAAAATAAAAAAAAAAACCTTGTTAATAAAAAAATAACGGATCGACTAAATCCGGTGGCAAAAAAGTGAATGCTTCTTGAGGAAGAGAAACAGAAACACGAAGTTTTACATTAAACAGTTTTTTTGGTGCCAAGGCGTTTATGAGGAGCAAGGTATTCAATAAAAAAAATAGGGAGTGAAATGGTTCATGAAATTATATTGGAGAATATTTTAAATGTTACTGTAGAATTAACGCTCCAAGGAGCATTGTGTTACGTACACGACGATTACTCATGCCTTACACGCTGTTTTCTGGTCGGTCAGAGTACTGCTACAGAAAGGTTGTCCAATCGTTCACTTCCCTGCTACCCACTATACTTTAATTTACGAAATAAAAATGTTAACACATCCTTTTCCCCCCCTAGCCATTTGAGCCCTTAAATTCAGGGGCACACCCATCATAGGTGCTCTAGATTTGTTATTATTTATTTTAAGCGGTGGATGGTCAGTCAAACTCTTGCTTAATAACAGTTATTAATAATCGAGTAGTTTGTTAACGATGAATAATCTCTCTATATCCATGTAGCAAGTTTTAGTGCAGATCTTTGCTAAAAGGCTCTGTATTTCTTAGTATTAACACGTAGTATTTGGTCAACTTGGAAAATCAGCAGATTAGTCGTCTATTCTAGCATATCCTTTAAGAAATTTAATACATTTATCTGCAGGCCTGCTACTTGCTCACGCATCTATAAACCCTGTTTCTTGTGCCTTATGAATCAACCCTCACATTTACCGATGAATGGGCCTAGGATCTACCAGTTTAATACCACGCGTGCACCGACAAACCCAATTAGCTAGTCATTGAATATTTCTCGTTAATTATTTCTCAACAATAAAACTATTTTTGCGTTAATTCACTGTTTTATAAAAAAAAGAATTCCGTCCTGATTTTTCCTGGTTCCTCCAGGCAGTCACAGTCTTCCTTGGACTGGCGTCCTACGCCCTGTCCGATGGACTCCATCACCTCGACATTGCCCGCGTTGGCAACGTGGGCTACGTTGCCCGAGGTCCTGGCGCCCTCGAGTACCACTCCAGCGGAGGCGTGGTGCCGGCCGGCATCCCCAGCGTCACCCGAGGACTCGCTCATGGAGGACAAGGTGCTCTTCTAGTCGGCCATGCCCCGGCTGCCGTCTCCGTCAGCCAGGCTCCAGCGGCCGTTGTGACGCAGCGAGTGGTTCAACAGCCATCCACCTATACCGTCACACAGCCGGGGTCAGTCCGGGTGGTTCAGCAGCCAGCCACCTACACCGTGACCCAGGGTCCCTCCTACGCCGTTTCCCACACTCCTGGAGCCGTGCTCACCCAGGGCGCCCTCGTCAGCCACCAGCCCGGCGCCGTATACACCACCTCCACCCCAGGCTACGCCGTCGCCCAGGGAGTCGGCCTTGTTGGTCACGCACCAGGACTTGCCGTAAGCCAGGCCCCGGGAGCGGTTGTTAGCCACGGAACCGTTGTCGGTCACGCTCCAGGGGCGGTCGTCACTCACACTCCAGGCGCCTACGGCGCCTACGGTGGAGCTTACGGCCTTGGCCTCGGAGGCACCCTCACCCTCGTGAGGCCCGGTGGAGCCTACAGTTACGGCATCGGAGGAGCCCGCTATGGTCTCGCCGGCGCCACACTCGTCCACGGAGCTCCCAGCGTGAGCGTGCGTCCCGGAGCCGCGTACGGCCTTGGCTATGGAGCCGTGTCCTACACTCCAGGCAAGGTCACCACCACCACCATCCCAGGATCGGCGTACGGCGTTGGCTACGGAACCGTGGCCTACCGCCCAGGCAAGGTCACCACCACCACCATCCCGGGAGCGGCGTACGGATACGGCGGCCTTGGCTACCAGACTGGTGGCGCCCTCACCACCGTCCGGCCCGGAGCAGTGTATGGTTACGGTCTTGGCTATGGTCTCAACTACGGACAGGCCGGTGCCGTCGCCACTCCTGGTGCTACTCTCGTGCAGCACCAGCCCGGCTACGCCTACGGACTTGGATACGGCTACCGCACCGTCGCTGTTCCTCAGGTCACCTATCACACCAGGCCAGTGAGCTACGGCTACGGATACGGCATTGGCGGTACCCGCTACGGAGCGCTCTACTCCCCGGGTCTCGTTGCCCACGGCGCTTACGGAGCTCACGGAATCCTGGGTCAGGGCGCATACCTTCACCAAGCTCCGGGCGTTGCCATCTCCGGCTACAGGACTGCTACCGTATCCACTCCAGGCGCCGCTGTCGTCCAGCATGCTCCAGGTGTCGCTGTGACTGGCTACAGGACCGCCACCATTTCCGCCCCCACCACCTACGTCCAGCAGACCCCTGGCGTCGTCGGCATCGCCGGCTACCGAGCCACCGCCGTGTCTGCTCCAGCCACCCTGGTCCACCAGACTCCAGGCGTCGCCGTGACGGGCTACAGGGCCGCCACGGTGTCCGCACCTGGCGCCATCGTTCAGCAGACCCCAGGCTACGGCATCGCTGGCTACCGCACAGCCACTGTAACCAGCCCCGGTGCCACCCTTGTTCATCAGGTTCCCGGTTCCCTCGCTCTCACCGGCCAGTACGTTCAACAGGGTCCAACCACCGTCACCGTCAACCCGGGACGCGCCTTCACCTACGGTGTCGGAGGTCTTCGCTACAACGGCGCTGCTCTTCAGGGCGGCCTCTACGGAGGCCTCCGAGGTGCCGCCCTCGTCAGCCAGGGCCCCGCCTACGCCGTTCAGCCCGGTGGCGCCTACGGTCTGGCCTACGGCTACCGCGGTGCCGTCGCTCCCACCACTGTCGTCCACCAGGCTCCAGCTGCTTACAATTTGAGGGCCGTCACCACTGGCGTCCCTGGAGCCGCCCTCGTTCACCACACCCCAACCCTTGCCGAGCTTAGGCAGCTTATCAGCTACGGCTACGGCTACGGTCTCGGCGGTGTCCGCTACCACCACGGTGCTCCCGCTGCCGTGGTCCACCACGCTCCAGCCGGAGTAGTCCACCAGGGCCCAGCACTGGTGGCTGGCGTTCCACAGACCATCGTTCACCAGACGCCGGCTGTCTACAGCGCGCAGACGCCCGCCGCCATTGCCCAGTACACTCAGAGGTACATCAGCTATGGTCCCACTACCGCCATCAAGTACACCGTAGACCCCAACGTCGCCCAGCTGCAGCATCTGAAGAAGTAGAAGGTGCGTTGCTCCTCCTTAGTGCTCTTCCTGATTCTATTCTCGTTCATATGATCTGGTCTAATTCTAGAAAGAAGGCGTTCTATTGATGAATAACTGAACAAAGATGGGTGGACCTAGTATAACTTTTAAGTGTCAAAGCGTATCAAAGTGGCTTACTCTATTAGCTGACCAGTACTCATGTGATCAGTTGTTGCCTTAGAAATGCGCTGCCTTTCAGGACACAGGTGAAGCAACCCCGAAAATTCGCGTTTATCTAACGAACCGAAAATACTCAAGGAATAAATAAAAAAAAAAAGAAACTAACATCACAGGGGCGTTTTATTTATACTTCTCGCAGTATTATGGTTTTCACTAATACGATAGAGAGATTTTATTTATATTGAACTCAAATTTCCAGTCTCCCATGACCTTGTCGTTTAAAGTGAAATTGATGAAACCGGGGTTACTTTGGTTTGTTTGGGTTACATAAAGATAGCTCGGCTTTTGTATCGATCGCTCTTCGTTTATGGTAAACGCAATGTCAAGGGTAATTTGTAGCGCAAACATTTAAATATGGTAACTGAAAACAAAGTAGTTAACACTTATATTCAACCTAACTGACTTCGAGTCTTCAAGATTTTCAGAACCGTCACGTAGAATTCTCTTTCATCATCCCTGGCCCTAGGGAAGCAGTGCAAAACATAAGTCTTCCAAATTGTAAGCTTCGATCCCTCAAAAGGAACATAGAAGAAGACCCAATTCATGTTAGGGGTTGCGTCACCTACAGTTGACGTGTTCTTCCATTGTAGGACTGCCGACGCCACATGTTAACTACCTGAAAAGTGTTCCAGTATCCACGCCTCGTTACCGTCGTAACTATAACCCATCTTCGTCGTTTTTTCTCCCGCAGGTTTCTCATCTCCAAGTCCTCCGCGGGTGCTGGAGTCGAAAGCGGAGGCACGCTTTCTTATTTATTCCACCGGACCCACGTCGTCACACACAGGCCGTTCTTCCTCGTGGCATCCCGCAGTCATCGACAGCACGAAAGGAACGACCATTCACGTCAATAAACAAAAGTCTGGCATCCCACAGGTCCGGTTCTTCCAGTCGATATTTTATTCGCAGTGATATCTCAAAGATTTCACAGTTTTCTTCACGGAACGCTGGCTAAATCGCTCCGGAGAAAAGCGCATAATCCCCTCCCCCCTTCCCCCCGACGCTAAGAAAAAGAACGTTGATGTCATATTCGTTTCTGCCAAAGGACTTAATTATGAGAGCTATTAAAAATGGTTCAGTATAATTGGGCTCTTACCTGCTTTCGAGTAACTACATTTTTATTGAGTAAATTTAAAGGAATGGTTTCAATCAGGAACTTTCTCGGAATCATCGAAAACCGCTAAATCAGTGAATTAAAAAAAAGAGCTGAACTAAATCTTTTCGATAACTTCGATAATGATACCCAAACTCTGACAGCGCCTTTTGGCATGCATCTTGTCGTTATCGAGTATCCTATTCGAAAGTGTCGAAACGCTCTAATAGGACCACCTATAGTGTAAGAAAGGCAGAACATTTTAACAGGTTCTGAAGAAATGCAATTGGGACGCGTTCTTACTTGAACTGGAGAGCTTACTGGTACCGGTAATTAGAAATAAGGGAAGACGCACAGAACACGAGATCGGACAAGACGTTTTCGCTTCCTCGGAGGAAAAGTCGACGGCCCGATGCTGGCAGTTGGGAAAACGTCTTATTACGTGTTTTTAAGTTCCGGTGTTTTTATTAAGACGCATCTCCGCGCCAGAGGGCCCCAATCGTTTGCTATGGCACGCAATTAATCTGCGCTGTCACGATATTTTGGCACGACGGAGCTAGTGAACCCAACAACCAAAGCTTAACGAAAAAATAGTCAGAGTGCAGGCGAGCTGGTGTAAGTTGAACATGATTGTACATGTTGAAGTTGGACATGATGCCCCAGTCTCAGGTTTACAATCATGTTCAACCAAAGCTTATTCTCGCAACGCAATTCGCACATCGCTGTGTTTTTGTTTCGCCGGGTCGCATTGCGCTTAAGTTAGCAAGGTGTTTAGTTGGGCGAGTCGCTGCATGAAGAGAATAAATAAAACAGCGTAAAAAGCACACAAGGACGAATGACACAACGCGGTGTTTGTATGCGCCTTTCACTTGCACCTGTGTTCTTTTTGCGCTGTTTCTTGGGACGCGCCCAAGAAGCAGTCTGGACGCCGATCCTTGTTGCTGGAATAATTCGTATTGATTGCAGTACTTCGCAAACCACTTCAAATGATGTAGGTCGTTATCTGAACCGCATGTCAGCCTTGCGTCACAAAGTGTTCAAAGAGGAACATGTCGCTGAACTATGTGCTTCTATACTTTATTTCACACTAAAGGCTGGTTCACACAATTACGACTGCTCACGACCGTACGCCTTAAAACCTCTCAAAAATCTCTTTCGGCGACAGAGCACACTGACGCCACCTATCGGGTATTCGTGTGCTACTTAATTGTCTCGTATACATGGTACTTCCGGCCGCCATTACAGAAAGCCGAGAACACTTCCGGTAAGGATCGATAACTGGGCGAGTTGGTGAGAGTTCATGTTGAAAAACAGCGCGACTGGGACGAGGACACACAGAGATGAAGAGAACACAAGACAAAGCGCTGACTAGCAACTGGTTCGTTATTACAACATAAGGAAGGATGGCAATGAAATGAAAAACATGGAGTCAAATGTTCGCGCGCTTGCTTGGCGCCTCGTGGAATATGCCCCTTTCTTCTTTTTTTTTCTTTTTCATCCGATTGTTGACTGGTGTTCTTCTTTCCTTAGGAGCTTGGGTTACCCTGAATCCAAAAACTTCATCTCGCTGGGAGTCATAGTCACCGAAGGTTGGCTCCCACACGAACTGTTGCTCTTCATGATGTTGTAGGCTTCTACCATCTCTCGACTTGTTTGGTCGTGGTGTTGAAATAATATGCTGGTGTTTTCGAACTGTGGTTCGCAACCGCAATCTCTGCGATGCACCGCTAGATGTGAATTAGCAGTGCCTTTCAAGGAGCTGTGGTGCTCTCTTAGTCGGATGTTTAAGCACCGGCCAGTCTGCCCGATATAACAGCGCCCACAAGAGAAGGGAATGCGGTAAACCACGCCTTTGACGCACGACACGAACTTTATCCCATGGTTTACCTTACATGTGTTATTTTCCGATCTTGCTATCCCCTCCCTGCGTGCACGTACAGCGGAACATAATCTACTTAGTTCGTTTTTGGCTGAAAAAACAACGTTCACCTCGTATCTGGACGCGACTTTTTTTAAGTCCGTGTGAAATGCGGCGAAGATAAGGAATGACCGAAACTTTCTTTTTTCTTTTTTAACTGGTTCCTCCAGCATGAAATTGGAACTAATCTTTACGAGTTTTATTAAAATATCGCATGCTGATGAAGTAATTGAGTCTGGGTATCCTGAATTCCTAATCCTTTGAATCTGGGAAGTGAAGCTAACGCCCATTATGTGAACACATGATTTTGTTAAAGCGGATTTCAAACAGGAATACACTATTCCTCTTTTTACGAGCTTCGAATGCGCTGACTAGTAGTTTAGCAAACTCTTTGACGTTCTAGGATGATACAACCAGCAAATGTGTTCTATTGTTAATTTAACGAGGAGATCTAAAAACTGTATTCGACTCTCTTTTGGTGTCTCATAAGTGAACCTAAGGCCTTGGCCAAGCCAATGGAATACTTTAAGGACGTAATCTAGTGTTTTTTCGCAACCGGAGGCTTCAACAAATACCAAAAAAATCATCAACATATCTAAAGACCTTAATGGTGTGATTTTCCAATTTTTGAACTAGAGCTCTACCTATTTTCCCGAGGGAAATATCGCTTAGTACAGGCGCTACTCTTGACCCTGTACAAACACCTGACTTTTGAACGAACACTTTTTCCTCACACCCTATCAAAGTAGATTTTAAATACACAGATAACAGTTCAAGGAAATGTTCAACTGTTATTCCGCATTGCGTTCTAAACTTAGTTTCGTTGTTATACTCCAAAATGCACTCTTGAATGCTTACCATGAGGTCATCATGAGACAAAGAGTAGTATAAGTCTTCTACATCAATGCTGAATGCTGTGCACCCCTCTAGATTGCTGTCCCTTAGAATATCCATAACCACCTTGGAGTTGGGGATACGTAAAGGGTCAACGATTGAAAGGGAATTTAGGCGTTTTTGTAAATATCCCGAGATTGCGTGTTGCCAAGTGTTGCGTTCCGATAGTATGGTGCGGAAAGGGATACCGGGATTATGGGTTTTAGCGGAGAAAAACACCATTAACGTGAGGTTTTTGTCCTTTTTGGGCTGCTGACGCGACTTTGTGTAACTTGAGTTGAGTGAGAAACTTAATGGTTCTTCTTTTTATCTCAGCTCGACGTTCCGATACCTCTCTAAAATTCCTTTGGATAGCTATATGAGCTTTCTCGGAGAATGAACCATTCGGTATAGCTACAAAACGCCCCTCTTTGTCAGATAACATAACATTCAAGTTGTTGGATGAGAGAAAGTATCGTCGGATCTAAACTGCGGGATCTTTTGGGGCTACCTTCACTTTTCAGTAAGACGTCTACACATTCGGTGATGCACCTATATTTGTCCTCCTCTGGTACATTCCGTAAAATGAACCTGAACAAAACCAATTTGTCAACGCGTTTAAGGGTGGGCTCGAAGCAAAACTTCGGTCCTTTTTTCAGGATGTTCTGGTGTGGTTCTGGGACAGGTAGATCGCCCAAGACGACAACGTTACCTTCCTTTGGATGAGATTTCTTCTTGGGTGGTAATGTAAGACGAACCTGGTTCCAAAGGAACTCAGTGGCCGGTGCTGTGGTCCTTGACCATCCTGCTAAAAGACGAGAGGCTTGGTGTTGATTTCTTCCTCGAGAGCAGGCGATCCGAAGGCATTCCTTGAAATGGCGGACTTGCTGCCACCATTCAGAGCACAGAACTCGACACAGCGCATGCTTCGAAAGGGCAACGTCACCGCTATGTTTCGTGTGTTCCGCAATTAAATCGGTCTTTTGTTATGTGATCCGCGCCCACTGGCTTCTTGAAGTGCTGTAATGTGTCGCAATGAACTGGGCAACTTTGCTGTGGTAGATTCTGCGAAACAAAAGATGCAACGAGCAATGAATCCGGGTTCGTCCAACACGGACAGTCTAGCTCTGTCATGCGCGCATCGATTTCACGCTCAACACTAGGATTGCTTAATTTTGAAATCAAAGATGCACACATCCGACTCTTCCGGAGTGCGAAGAAACTTTATCCAACGAATCGCACTTCAGTCCTTAAGCCCGATTCACATGGTGCGATTTTACTCTCGATTTCGCACTAGCGATATCCCTAGTGCAACAAAAAAAGAGAGAGAGAAAAAAAAAGGTGGTAAAAACTGCGTGGTTTACCTCCGCACTTGCGAAATAGCGAATAAAATGGCACCATGTGAATCAAGCTTTATGCAAATAAAGGATTAATTAAAATAATAAATATTATTCTCCCAAATATAACTTTGTATTTTAGCCTGAACCCAGGTCTTCATAACACAGACAACTGACACAGACAAACTTGGTACAGCGTAAAATATTTCATGATTAAAATAATACTGTATCATTGTTTTCAGTCTTAAAGCAGAACCTTTAGTAATGTTTATTTTGGGGTGCATGCGAGCTTCTATATAGGCGGTTTTTGTGAACCTAGATAAATTCAGGAAGGCGTGTTGGTGAAACATATTACGTAACTTACATAAAACGCAAATTTTGGGAGCTTGTGTCAGCGGAGAACTTCACGTCTTTTCACATGGAAGCGAAACTTGGGTTCGGTTCCGCGTGAATTTCAGAGACATCAGTTTGGAAATACGAGAGCCAGACTCTTCTTTTCAGTATGGAAACGTCTGTTCGTGACACGATTAAAGTAAAACCGGAAACATAGCATTTAACCGCTAGTCCATATACAGGGTGTCACAAAAAAGACTTTGCAGGCTTTTTGTTTCGTTTTTTACCGCAAAAATAAACTAAAGCTAGGCATCGCCGAAC